CTAGAACCAACATCTGGAATCAACATCCAGAACCAACACCTGGAACCAACATCTGGAATCAACATCCAGAACCAACATCCGGCACCAACATCCAGAACCAACACTGAAGAACCAACATCAAGAACCAACATCTATAACCAGCATCCAGGACCAACATCCGGAACCAACATCCAGAACCAACATCTAGACCTAACATTGAAGAACCAACATCTAGAACCAACATCTAGACCTAACATTGAAGAACCAACATCTAGAACCAACATCCGGAACCAACATCTGGAACCAAACACCTAGAACCAACATCTAGAACCAACATGTAGAACCAACATCCAGGACCAACATTTAGAACCAAGATCTGGAACCAAACACCTAGAACCAACATCTGGAACCAAACACCTAGAACCAACATCTAGAACCAACATCCAGAACCTGTGAACTCCAGGTTCTGGTTCATACCAATGATCCACATCAGCATTTGGTCTAAACATGTATAAACCAGAACCTTGTCTGGTCCAACTTCACCACATCAGGTTCTACTGATGTTAGAGCCTCAACAGTTAGTGAAATGTGACCAAAGACTGGGTTCTAGTAGAACCATGGATCCATCCATAGACAGACACTGACAGGAACTTTCTGGATCAACACCAGCCTGGTTGGAACATTTTTTACTTTCTTTCTGTTTTCACGGGTCAGTAGTTGTTCATTTTTGTCATTTGGACCACGTCAGTGGGTTCTCTGCTGGTTTATCATGACTTCAGCCTTTATCTTACTTTGAACGAGTATTTCATCATTTCTGAACAAGTTTCAGGTAATTCTGGATACTTGTCGAGTAATTCTGAACCTGTTTTAGGTCAGAATATCTAAGAACTGGAACCGGAACACTTTAAATCCTGCTGATGTTCGAGCCTCATGTGTCCATTTTCAAGGTCCAATAATAAAACCAGGTCCTGCTGGATCCTTCAATCATGCTGACCTGATGGAACTATTGTGTCTGTCAACACATTTCATGGTGACGATAAAGGTCTGACAACATGAAACTATCTCAGAACATCCTGTCCAGACGAGACGTCGACTGTTCCTGGTTTTTATTTTATGTCTGAATTTCAGGTTAACTTGGGAGAATTAGAAATTAAACGTTCTGATATTGTTGAACATTTGTTAATGTTGGAAAACTGAGAAAATTACAACTGAGCTAAACTGAAACCTTCTTTTTCTGCTAGTTTTATTGAAACATCTGTCTCATTGTGTCTTCATTTATTTCACCTATTTGTTAATCTATTTATTTAGTTGTGTGTCTGTGTATTCGTCTATTTAATTATCACTTACCTATTTTTCTTCTCATTTTTTTTAAATGATCCATTTATCAATTTTTTTAAAAAATCTATTTATTTGTTTGTTTGTTTTCAGGAAACAAAAACAACCTTTTCAAGCAAGACGGCACAAAGTCAGAATTAAATTTACTCCAACATTCAGACCCTGATAATAAAATCAGGAAGTTTTTATCTTTAAAGCCTCATTTGAATATTAAACTGGAGCAAACATCAGGATGTATAGAAAAACTAAATTAATGTCATGAAAATAGAAATAAGTGATTTTTTTTTAAATTTAATACTCAATAATTTAGAATATTAAACCAGAGCAGGCAGCTGAGACACTCTGAACATAAATGATTATTTAAATTCACGTGTTCTGCTGTTGATAGATTTACATTTATTTCGCCCAAATCTGCTCCGTTTGTTCAGTTCTAGAATAAAACACTGAAGAGTTTTTTTTCTTTTTCTTTAAAGCACATAATGTCCAAATATCAAGAGACGGAACAAGGTTCTGAATCAGAGACCCGGAGCCTCCTGATCAGGTTTATGAACCACCAGCTGACCCACTGCTGCTCATCACAACTAAAAATGGTCCAATTCATTTAAAACAGAACTAATCTTGTTTGAAGCTCCCAGTTTTCTCTTAAAATTCTTAAATCAATTCATTTAGATTTATTTTTATTTGTGTAGAATTTAGCTTGTTGTGAATAAAACGTGTTTATTTGATTGTTGTGATTATATTTATTTTATTTTATTATTTTTTTACACAAATGTTCTCAAACAAAATCCCTGATTGAAATAAAGACTAGAGATGGAATAATATCCGAATGTCAGGAGACATTTTCTCTCAAACTGATTAGAAATAGAATAACAGGAGAATTGACTTTATTTTTTATTTGATTCCAGTTTTTGTGTTTCTGAGCTTCAGTCAAACATTAAAACGCTTCAAAGGTTCGGGTATTTTTCTCTCGTGTTTCGGTCCAAACATCGGCTCTGATCTCCGGTGAACGTGTCTATTCGGTGTCTGTGGAGCTCCAGAGTTCTGTCTGGACACGGTTCGATCCGAACATTGGCACTTCACGTGGTCTGAAATAAATCAGAACCTGAAGCAGTCTGAGGGCCTCAAAGGACACGCAGGGAGACGGAGGTCCGTGCGTGACGCGCGTGTTCCTGCGCGTAAAATGGCATCTGTGCGCGTGCGCCTTTATTCCAGCTCCGTGCGCGGCTGCTCCTTCTCTCTCTGGGCTCCTCGAGACGCTTTTATTTTACGAGCACACGCTGCGCGCCATTGGCCGCCGCTGGTCATGTGTGCGCGCTCCCTCACGGCCAGGGTCGGCTCGCGCGCTCTCGGTGCCACAGAGCAGCTCGCGGGCAGCGGCGCGCCTCCCGCGCGGTAAACACCCGGTCCGTCCGATCCAGCAGGTCCAGCAGGTCAGTCTGAAGCTTCTGACGTTTGAAGAATTTAAATAAGTTTAAATTAAAATCAGACGTTTCAGGTTCTGCGGCTGCGTGAACTCTGACTGAATATTGATCCGTTTTCTGTTGTTCTGCCTCCTGTTGATCTCAGACCGCTGCAGAGGACCATGAAGAACCTGGAGAACATGAAGGTGGAGAACCTGGAGAACCTGAGGATCTGTGCTCTTACCAGGTACCAGCTGTGACTGACGTGAACTGTGATGAGCTGTGAAGCTGCTGCTGCTCTGATGAATGTTTCTGATCCGTTGGTTTCATGTCTGGTCCAGTCTGATGTGTTTGTTTGTTCAGAGCAGGACTGAAGATCTTGTGTTTTACTGCTGCTGTGGTTCAAACATCATCAACTGGTTCCAATCTGAAACCTGAAAACCTGATTTTTTTCCCCCTTTAATTTAAGTGTGAATGTTTGTGAGCCACCAGCTGCTTCAGGATCCAGAACTTAAGTCGTGTGACCAGAATGTTATGACTGAAGGACTGATGATGCTGAGATGATGCAGACTCAGTCAGGTTTCATGTTTTAGTTCTTAAATGTTTGTAAATTTGGTGATTTTTCATAAATTTGCAGCAGATTTATTCAGAAACACAAACTTAAACACACACAGCTGTTGTTTTCTTTAAATGCAACCAAACCACTGACCCTGAAACGGGCCTTTGTGACTCAGGAGGCTGTGACCAGAACACATGAGGAGAAAACAGGTGACGTTTCTTCTTTCTGGATCTTCTAAACCTGAGTTCTGGCTCCTGGTCCATAAAAGCCAGATGGACAGGGGGAATCCTCTGGTTTTGTTCTCGGAGGCTTTACGAGGCTCCTCGAGTGTCTCAGAGACACAAAGAGCAGAGAAAGAAAGAGCGACAGTATTTCTGCTCCTTCTGGACGTATATTTCTGGTTTTATGGTTGGGCAGGCGGAGCCACAAACAAAGACGGTGTTTCTTGCAGCTCCGTCAGGCTCAGCTGCTCTCAGTATTTACAACCTGCTGCAATGCGGCAGCCAATGTGAGAAACAAAGAGACAAAAGGAGTGACGCAGAGACGAAGGCCACGTTGAGTTACAGCTGACAGACCTGAGAACCAGAAACGTGACAAAGACCCGAGGCTGAACGTCGACTGTGTTTCTGCAGAATCCTGCAGAGATCCAGACGGACGGAGCTGAAGACGAGCTGCAGGTTGGTTCTGATCCATTTCCTCTGATTTCACTGAGCAGATTTAGTACCAGAACAAACCACAGCTGGTGAAGAACCATCTAGAATGTTCCTCTCACTGCTCGTCTGCTCTGGTTTTAGCTTTTTATCTGAATTCATCTGATTTACTGCTTCATGTTTCTGTTGTTATTCTGAACGTGTGGCTCAAGATTTCCCTTCAGATTAATAAAGTTTAATCATAAATGTTGGTCACATTTTTTAGACCTTTCTGTTTTTCAGAATCTCACTTTTTCATCCATTTAACTGCTTCTTCTTTTAAAACATTCTTTTCCAGAGCTCACACGTCCAGACGGTCGACGGTTTCCATCTGATTCAGGTAAAACAACAAAAAACTGAACATTTACTTACTTAGAGGTTTTATTTTGCTTCATTCTGTCACATAAAATAAACTAATTTTCTGCTAATGGAACAAAGGGATGATGAAAACATGCTGCAGTTCTGATTTCATCACTTTAATCTGAAATCTACAAACAGTGGTGCTGCTGCCCCTCCGACCAGCAGGGGGCAGCACCGCTCAGACACACGGCTCACTGCTGGAGCAGCTACAG